ATTACAAGGATGACGCGGAGAATCATGAACCTATAATTTTGAGCTCCAATAAAATTAATAATTAATTAATTAATTATATTAATTATAAAAGTTACTCTACTAAAAAATTAGAATTGTACTCTCAAAATTATAGACATAATTTACTTTTAAGAACTTGAAGTATTCATTTGATATAGTCACTACATATATATCAATCTTACATAAATAATTCATAATTAGAGCTAGATAATATCCGTTAACCTCCCTAATTACTTCTTTATCATTCAGTATCATTGATTCTCTAATGAATAGTATTTTCATAAAATACATTCATAAATACAATCTCGTGACTTATTCAAGTACTGAATTAATCCCCAAGGGCATTATTTGTCTACTTCTTCATGGAAGAAGGAACATACTCCATCTCGTATATTAGCATTCCCGGCTAACTATTTCATCATATATTTCTAGGATACAAGGAATAAGATTTAGTGTCTCAAAATCTGTATCGAGTGAGTCAAAAAACACGAATCCATAAATACGAGTCTGCTAATAACTCAGGATTAAAATCATTCTACATATGACCATCGGCATACTCAAATTTGATTTTCTATGTTTAATGGAAATTATCAGAAAATCAAATTGTGTTTATGTCTCAGTTCTACATAATCTCATTATACATAATAAACTCATTCAATATCCTCTATATTAATGATGCGGATATCACTATTTCATTCTTAATGAGAATGACGCGTATTAGTAATATTTTAAGTTCATTACGAACATATTTTGATTATTATTTTTTAAATATTATCTTCTCGTATATAACACTTATATATAATATTTAAGGTTGCATAAAAATCACAAAATTCTTAGGATACTATTCCTAATAAAAACATTATAACTTATGCATTTAAAACATGAATATACAAGCATGTGTTGTAGGTGAACACTTTACTTTCCTGGTGTCCTGCTATTTAATAATTCTAAATTCTTACAACTTAACTTCTATGATAGTCTGTTTTGTAATATTGTTATGACAAAATTACTTAGAGCAAATTTAATATTTCCTAACTTTTGGTAAAAACCTTTTATCTTATTTCTAATAGAATTTCTGCTTAAAAATCCCGAACTTGCTAATCTTAATTCTAGCAGAATTTCTACTTAGAGAAGTTAAATTTCTAATTTCTAATTTAGCCTTGTAGCCTCATATAGAAATTCCTTACTTCTCAGTAGTTTAATCCTCAAAATATCATCATCTTACAGACGTTAAATTTCAAATTCTAATTAAGTATTATAACCTCATAATGAAATTCCTAAATTTTTACAATCTAATTCTCAAGATAATTTCTTCTTATAATAAAACTAAGCGTAAGATCATATTCTAAAGCACAATATCGGCATTATGAATCCTTATCTTAAGCCTAATCTAATTGCTAAATTTTACTATAATTTCTAGGTAAAATACTATAACAAAAGATTAAGAGAGAAATTTATATATGAAAATTTAGAGAAATCTTTGTTCCTCTTCTTTCTAAATCTCTTTCTCTTCGTTGCTATTTTTCTCTTTCTCCCTCTAACTATTCTCTAACTTTCTCTCTCTAAGTGCCTTGAAATGAAGTAATGAACGTGTATGAAATGAGTTATGTTCCACCTATTTATAGTTTTCCATCTCAAATTTTAACGTTTGTATCAAGACATGTGGTGGATTAATCCTAGCTATTGATTTCAAAACTAATATCTACACTTAGATCATATGGTGCTTTGGCTTAATCTTTGCCATTAGTTCTATAATCAATTTTAACCTTTTGAGCGTCTCATATGTTGGTGTGATCCCATTGATCTTTGTTTCTTATTTAAAATAATTCAAGAAAATTCCTTTAATATAATTCAAGAAAATTCCTTTAATTATAATCATAGGACAAGTGTCCATAAAAGTTTCTCCAACATTGACAAATGTCTCACAAGTAGTAAATTTAAACTTTTCTTCTTTCAAGTAGACAAATCAGTCTCATCTTCCCATTTTGCAGTATTTTCCAATCGAGAATTGTAGGATTATGAGCCCATATTGTCAAATTTAGGTTCTTTCTAGGCACAATGAAATTTCATGTTACCTTTTCTATTTTCTTCTATAACCTCTGAAAATTTTGGATTTTACCAAGTTGTTTCTTATAGTCTCCTAACTTTTGTCATGACAGGACAGAACTATCCTTACTTTGTGGACACCAAAAATCATGCTAACATATTCTAAAACTAGCAGATTCATCATAGGTAAGTTCTATTGTGTCTATATGTGATCTAATAGGGTGGGTTCTACATTGAAAGTCTGAGATTCTGGTTTTAAGTTTTTAGATGGTGCATACAATGTGAAGAACATACAGAAGACATAAATCTAAAGATGATAGTTTAAATATTTGATCCACAATTAATGGAATAAAGTTGGACACTTTATTAGTTTAAATATTTGATCCGTAATCGATGAAATAAAGTTGGACACTTTATTTATATTAAGATTTTTTATGTTCTTTACTTCTTAACGGAGATGGCTTGTTTTGGTTGTCAGAGTGGGATTGTATGGGTAAAGACATTGATATAATTTTTAGTGGTGGAATCTATATTGGATCGGACAAAAGTTGAATTGCTTTATTTAGTAATTTCATTTGAATAAAACAATTCACTCTTGACGAATTATATGTGATCATCTTAATTTTGAGATCAATAATGAATCTGTTTTGACTTGTATCTTTTGATGTACCAAAGGCTGACATCCTGACATTATGTAAAGATACACATACTTGCATGCATGGATGAAAATGTCCATGACATTTCCACGAATAGCTTGAAAATCTATACTTGAAAATCTCAACGTGGATTACAAAGGGAAAGATATTCTTTTTGGCGTGTCCATAAAATATCTACAATGTCCAAAAATATTTGTAAAGTCTGTGAATATCCGTAAATATCCAGGATATTTTTAGAAATGTCCACAAAATGTCCAAAAACACAAAAAAAATACACAAATTAATTTTGTAGCACATTTTTTTCCTATTTTTTCAATAAAATGTGACAACACGATTCAAATCAAAAGCAATAAAAAATATTAAGACTTAATTAGTTTTTTAAATAATTTTACTTTTTAAATTAATGATTCATATTTAATACTAGAGAAGAAGATTTTACTCATGCTACACAAATGAAGACCATAGGTGTAAGGCAATTGGAAAATAATTTATAAAAAGACGCAGTGTGACTCAAATTAGTAAAATAATAATAATGACTATTCTATAGCCTTGAGTTTTGGTTCCATGAGCTTAGTAAAATTCATAGGGTTATAATCATTCATATAATTCTCACATAGGATCTACTTCGGAAGTACAAAACCAAGTTGGATAAACGAACAATATTCAATTTATGGGTTAACAGTAGGAAACGATCAAGAAACATACATGTGACATATAAACAGTTACCTCTAGAATTATTCAAGGGTAATATATTGGAAAATGTATTGTTTAGATCAATATCAGAACGTATCTAATGCGCTTTCCAAACTACTAAAAACTTGTTTTGATACTAAAAACACTTTAAGTCTGTGTGTACTCTATTATGTTTGGTAGTTTATTTTGATGTAATATAAATAATTATTGTGCCTTGTTTCTATTATGTATGTAAGATTATATTTGAATCATAATCCGTATATAATTATGATAATTTTTTACTATACTATTTGACATAACTCTTACATTCCAATCAATATTATTTTTGTTATTAAATTAGTTCAAATTAAGTAATATTAATTGTTTTTGATATTTTCCATAATTTCAATAACAAATTTTAAAGTTCTTTTAAAGTACCTATTTTTTTCCTAAATATCCATCAACATCGATATTTCCGTCATTATTTGTATATCAAAACCTCGACAACCTCAGTGACATCGACATTTTCATCTTATACGTTAGATATATGACTCTTGTATGCGTAAATATATTATTCATAAATATAGAATCTATATTACTTAAGTTTAAAATTTAAGTTGAGTATGTGAGAGAAAAATATTATAGTACAAAAATTAAACTTAAATTTTTATGAGAGAAAATACTGTAATAGTAGAACTTGAGCTGTGAAATAAACAAAGACAAAAAAAAATCTAAATTCAAAGACGAATCTGAATTCAAAGACTACTCTAAAAAAAAAAAAATTCCCTTAAAGTGCCTTTTTACTGAAAACCGTCGTTCAAACTTCAATGTAAAACTTAAATCAGTTTTGTGATGAAAGGCTTTGAATCTTTTTGAAAAACAACCTTTTTCCTGCGCCTCCTTTTTAATTTTGAAATTTGAAAAAAAAAATCCTTAAATTTGACTGGTAAAATACTTGCATCAAACACTATTGTAAAGAGATGCCAAAATTTGAAAACAACTCACGACTGGTATAAGAAGCATATTTCTAAAGAATAAACCACACATTATAGTAGGAATAGGTTTATAATTCGATTTTCAACATTAATGAGGTTCTAATACAAGTTCATAAATATACAAACCAAGAGCCCAGAACCCGTTTAGAATAGCTTGTACTTGTGCTTTTAAATAGTAAAAGAAGAAAAACATAAGTTAGAACTTTTTAATTAGTGTTTGAATAGTACTTAAAAAAGTCCTATTATATCTAAGAAAGCTTTTAAATCTATTTAGATAAAAAAGTCTAAAGCACTTATTGTTACAAAAAATAATTTAATAAAAGGATATAAATGAGATATTTAATATATTGTTCACAAATAAAAGGTTAACAATATAAATAAATAAATAAAGCTTTCATAAGCACTAAGGAGATGACTTATTCTAAAAGTGCTTAAAAAAGTTAAAAACACTTTAAAGTTGTTCATCTAGATAGGTTTAAAAGCGGCTTTTGGACTAAATAAGCTAAAAACGGCTATTTTTAAGCCAATCCAAATGGGCTCCAAGAATGAGACTTGGTCCAGTAACAACAAAGCCCCCATTAAATGAGTAGTACATAAGTGTTTATGTGCTAGATATAATAAACACAATCACTACTACATGACTATTGCAATAGTTGGAAATGTATTACACACGAGTACATCATATGTTATACAAACCGATAGTAGCATTACAATCCCATTACAGATTTTTCTCATTAGTTTATAACCAATGTAGAGACCAGCTACAAAACATGAAACCCAAACCACACATCACTCACAAGTCACATAGTACATATAAAGCAGCATTCCTCACAGATGGATAATTTCATAAACATGCCATATTACACAATCAAGGACCTCACAAAACCACCAAAATATACAAAAATTCCTGCATGTATGCACCATCAAAAGAAAGAACAGTTCAGAAAAATATAAGAGACAGACTTGTATTACAAATCCTCTCGTTTATTATTACATTTTACAATTAAGGAATATCACATGATGATAAGGATGACAAAAGAAAAAATTCCATGAAATCGGATCTTATGTGTTGGGAAACTTACAGTAAGGGATGATTTTCCACCGCTGGTTATCTCCTTTGTTCCACTTCCACAGCATTATGAGCGTGCCGTCATGTACACCACCCGAATGCTTATCACCATGAAAAGCATCCACGAGAAGGTGAGTGTTGTTGACCATCCTAATAGTTCTGTAGCCATCGCCGAGGTCCTTGCTTTCTGTCCAAAGGATTGATTCATCGAGGACATTTGGATTGTATGGTGTCAGCTGCACCTGCAGATGAAAAAAAAAGAATGGTGGTGATAAATTCATGGCATTGTAATGAAAAAAATTAAGGCAACATCAAGAAGATGCGAAAAAAATGCAGTCCCTCAGTTTTGCATTGTATTACGCAATTAATTTATGAGAGAATGGGTTTGTAAAAGGAAGTTTGAGGAACAAGAACAAAGTTTTGAACAGAAAACACAAGGATCTTCACATGTCCGCCTTACTCCAATAAAAACTGTGCAGGAAACCAGAAAGCCTTACGAGTCTCGTGCTACAAGCATTGATTAAATAAATCTAGCAATTAACCATTTCTGTTTCATGCTTGCAAAATTAATGAGATGTATGTCCAGAAATGGTATGAGTTCAATAATTATTTAGTTTTAACAGTTTTCTCTTACAAATCTAAGAAAGAAGGGAGACAAATGGAATGCAAAAGGAGATATAATAAAGATCATAACAAACAGTTGCTAGCAAGCATGAACCTTGCAATTTCTACCACCATAGTTCAAGATTTCAGTGCTAAACAGTACCCAATATTCTAAAAACCATACTGTATAACGTGCTAAACCCAGTTTACCTGGACCCAAAAAAAAAAAAAAAATAATAATAATAAAACCAGGAGTTCAATCCAACAAGTTTGTCTTAAGAAATCCATAAAATAAAATGCACCATCATCTGTGCTTAATGTGACTATTGGCAGGAAAGCTGGAATTGCTTTTTGAGCAGTTGAGATGGTTTTCAATCAAATCCAGTAAAATATCATAGTTGAAGGTGGTCTTAAAACTTCCATGAACTCTAAAACTGACCCCTGCGATTATTTCTCGGTGGACTGCTGGATATACTGACAAGTCTCGAGGATTTGATATTTCTGGATAATTCTAACCTTACCTCCGCTAATTTTGTTTGGATTCTATATTTCTGGATAATTTTTTTTTTTTATAAGAAACTACCATTTAATGAAAAAAAAAAAATCTAGTAAAAATGAAAGAGGATGAGGCAACCTCAAAAAACAAGAGGAAAAGAAAAATAATTAGACAAAATTATTTCCCTATTAATATCTTTCCAATTCAACACAAATCAATCAATGAAAACGGAAATCTTTGACAAGCTAATTCCATTTTAATTTTTATTATTATTTTGTAGCTAAATCTGCAGTATGTTCATTTCCTAGAAACAAGTATATATAAAGTTATTACTATTTTTTTTTTTCCTAATCAAGTGGTGGAAGATTAAAATAATGCAACTTGGTCTTCCAATCTACATAGAAAATATGAAACAAACATATAAAAAGAGATGACAAACAACAACGCATGGTATTGTTACCGGATGAGTATCCCCAACGGAATGCTTCAGAGCCTGACCAGTGGCCTTATTAACAAGTGCAAAACAAGGAAACCCATCTTCATCCTTCACCCTTGTGCTGTACTTTTCATCCTTGTACCAGTGCTGTAACCACCAGAAACAAAGTGAAATCCAACCAAAATAAAGTCAAACCAAACGAAGGATGAAAATATGGACATCCGAGAAAATATCGATGGAAATAATGTTGTCAAACCCAGGATCAAATTAAGGGATTTCACCTGCAAATCATCCTTGTAATCAGACCGGGAGAGAATGACTTTCCCATCTCGGATTGCGAGAGAGAAATTGGGCCCGGCCTTGGAGTAAACCTGAAAAGTCTTTTTTCCAGAGAAATAAGAGGAAGCTTCCAGATGCTGCTCATGGTGATGACCAAAAGAGGGGAAATGAGGAATGTGGTGGTGATGATGCTGGGTCCCACCGAATTCTTCGATCGGTGGTTGGTCCAGGCGATGATGATCAACGTGTTCAACTGTGACAGAGCCATATCCCGACGGATGATGATGACCAAAGGAATCTGACGGTGGTGGTTGGTCCAAGCGATCATGAGCAACGTGTTCAACTGCGACGGAACCATATCCCGACTGATGACGATTCTCGAAATAATCGGACGATGGTGGTTGATCTAAGCGATGATGATCAACGTGTTCGACCGTGACAGAACCATATCCCGATTGATGACGATTACCTAAAGAATCAAACGGTGGTGGTTGTCGTTCGAAAAACTCCGGAGGTGGTGGTGGGTAAGAGGAGGAATGGAGAACGTGGGCCGGCGGTGGAATCGGCGGCTCGTCGAATCCGACATACGGCGGCGGCGGCGGAGGTTGGTCGAAGGCGGGAAAAGTGGTTCCCGGTGGAGGGTAGTTTGGTCTTTCTCGTTCGTTATCTTCTTCTTGGTGGTGGTGGTGGTGGTGGTGATGTCCAAATGGGTTTTCCATTGTTTGGTTGGGTCTGGGTTTGGTTTGTGTTCAGATCGTCAGTGTTTGTAGCTTCCCGACGGAAAGAATTCTTGAGAACAGATATCAAACTGTAGTTTCCAAAACAACGTTTGGAGTTCTTTTGTTTTTTTCCCCCAATAAAGATATTAATGCTAATTATATATTTAATATTAAAAAATATAATATAATATTTTATGTTTATTTTTTTA